AGAATTCATTTATTGGTGGAATAATTCGATGAGAAACAGCAATTTTTCGTCATTTTCAGTAGTTCACTCACTCAAAGTATCAATAGCTGCCAAACAACTATGAAAGACTAACTTCTTTTAATACGAAAATATTCATTATTTTATCCATAATTTTTGGTAAAAATTTCAGATTTTTTTGTAAATTAGATTTTTGATATTAATGATGATTTTTTCTCTTAAAAATATTCGCCTGATGCCCAACTTTTCGTGGAACTGCCCATAACGAAATCATTTGTGAATTGCGTGAGAATGAATGAACGGACAAAGCAACCTTTTTTTTTGATAAACATAAAAAACGTAGAAAATTAATGAAGAAAAAAATGGAATTGAATAGTAGGAATATTCATCCAATAATTTTTGTTCATATCAATGCTGAAGTACAAAAGAGAAATACTGGAAGAAACGTCTCGGGTGTTCGTAACACCCCACGCGAGGATAACAGAGATAAAGTTATGTTTCGCTGTTATTCCGTGGTTTCTACAATTTTTAGTTCATCAAGATCCAATTTCTGGAAATTGACGAAGAATCGAATTTGAATCAAACAGCGTCATTCAATAATTAATAAAGATTATTTATTATGAAATTAATTATGAACGACCATTGATGCAATCGTGAGCGCAAATACTTGGATTCATGCATCCAGTTCTCTTGCGGAGATCTCCCATTCATTTTCATTGGGCACCACTGGTATACCTTCATCATTTCTGCAATTGCAACTACTTCTGCCATCTCTAAAGTCAAATTAGTACTAAGGAATTCGCTCGATAACAAATGAATAGTATTAATTTCTGCTATATCGACACTGTTTAACCGACGAAAATGGTTGTGTACGTTTGGGATGTGTTCGGAAAAATTTGTGTAAACTCTTTCTGTATTTCACGAAAATGTGTACGAAATGGAATGTGTACAATCAGGGTTGGATAAATCGGTCAGTTCTATACACGTAAATTATGTAAAAAATGTCTAAAATGTAATATACGGTTTATTCCATTCAGCCGGATTTTGAGTGCTCGTATTTTCCGTAAAATACGTTGAACAAAGTATAAAATGTAAAAAATATCTAAAAGGTTGTGGAGGTCGAATGTCACGAGGGTTACGAGTGTCATAAGGCGATAATCAAATTTCACAAGGGTTAACCATCACGAGGGTCACAATAAATGTCACAAGGAGATGGTCAAATTTCACGAGGGTCACAAGTGTTACAAGGAGGTGTTCAAATTTCTCGAGGGTCACAAGGGGATGGTCAAATTTTACGAGGGTCACGAGGGTCCCAACGTCGAACGTCGCGAGGGTCACAAGAGGATGGACCAATTTCACGAGGGTCAAACATCACGAGGCTCACAAGGGGATGGTCAAATTTTACGAGGGTCACAAGGGAATAGTCAAATTTACGAGGGTCACACGTCACGAGGGTTACGATAGGATAGTCAAACATCACGAGGGGATGGTCAAATTTGACGAGGGTCATAAAGGGGAAGGTCAAATTTGACGAAAGCCACGGGGGTCACAAAGGAATGGTTAAATTTTACGAGGGTCAAACGTCACGAGGGTCCCAAGAGGATGATTAAACTTCACGAGGGTTATAAGGAGATGGTCCCATTTCATGAGGGTCACAAGGGAACGGTGAAATTTCACGAGGGTCAAACATCACGTGGGCCACAAGAGGAGGGTCAAATATCACGAAGGTCAAGAGAGTTCCAAGGAGATGGTTAAATCTCATGAGGTTCACAAGGGAATGGTTAAATTTCACGAGGGTGGAGCATCACGAGGGTAACAAGGGGATAGTCAAATTTTATTTTATTTCATTTTATTTTATACCTTCGTGACCCTCGTGAAATTTGACCATCCTCTTGTTACCCTCGTGATCCTTCTGATGTTTGACCTTCGTCGAATTTTTTCTAAAAACCAATTTGTTATGAAATTTGTTATAAAAACGAAAACATTGGAGCAAATGGGTTAGTGGAAGTTTGAAAAATATCGATATTTCGTGTATCGATACAAACATTTTACAAAGTTACTAAGCTTGCATTAGCTTAATAACAGCGTAACATAAATGCCAAAATATGCCAATTCAATTAAACATGAGAAACTAGAAATTAATATGGAAACAGAAATTTAAAATTCGAAAAGTTTTGTCTGAGGACNCAGCGTCATTCAATAATTAATAAAGATTATTTATTATGAAATTAATTATGAACGACCATTGATGCAATCGTGAGCGCAAATACTTGGATTCATGCATCCAGTTCTCTTGCGGAGATCTCCCATTCATTTTCATTGGGCACCACTGGTATACCTTCATCATTTCTGCAATTGCAACTACTTCTGCCATCTCTAAAGTCAAATTAGTACTAAGGAATTCGCTCGATAACAAATGAATAGTATTAATTTCTGCTATATCGACACTGTTTAACCGACGAAAATGGTTGTGTACGTTTGGGATGTGTTCGGAAAAATTTGTGTAAACTCTTTCTGTATTTCACGAAAATGTGTACGAAATGGAATGTGTACAATCAGGGTTGGATAAATCGGTCAGTTCTATACACGTAAATTATGTAAAAAATGTCTAAAATGTAATATACGGTTTATTCCATTCAGCCGGATTTTGAGTGCTCGTATTTTCCGTAAAATACGTTGAACAAAGTATAAAATGTAAAAAATATCTAAAAGGTTGTGGAGGTCGAATGTCACGAGGGTTACGAGTGTCATAAGGCGATAATCAAATTTCACAAGGGTTAACCATCACGAGGGTCACAATAAATGTCACAAGGAGATGGTCAAATTTCACGAGGGTCACAAGTGTTACAAGGAGGTGTTCAAATTTCTCGAGGGTCACAAGGGGATGGTCAAATTTTACGAGGGTCACGAGGGTCCCAACGTCGAACGTCGCGAGGGTCACAAGAGGATGGACCAATTTCACGAGGGTCAAACATCACGAGGCTCACAAGGGGATGGTCAAATTTTACGAGGGTCACAAGGGAATAGTCAAATTTACGAGGGTCACACGTCACGAGGGTTACGATAGGATAGTCAAACATCACGAGGGGATGGTCAAATTTGACGAGGGTCATAAAGGGGAAGGTCAAATTTGACGAAAGCCACGGGGGTCACAAAGGAATGGTTAAATTTTACGAGGGTCAAACGTCACGAGGGTCCCAAGAGGATGATTAAACTTCACGAGGGTTATAAGGAGATGGTCCCATTTCATGAGGGTCACAAGGGAACGGTGAAATTTCACGAGGGTCAAACATCACGTGGGCCACAAGAGGAGGGTCAAATATCACGAAGGTCAAGAGAGTTCCAAGGAGATGGTTAAATCTCATGAGGTTCACAAGGGAATGGTTAAATTTCACGAGGGTGGAGCATCACGAGGGTAACAAGGGGATAGTCAAATTTTATTTTATTTCATTTTATTTTATACCTTCGTGACCCTCGTGAAATTTGACCATCCTCTTGTTACCCTCGTGATCCTTCTGATGTTTGACCTTCGTCGAATTTTTTCTAAAAACCAATTTGTTATGAAATTTGTTATAAAAACGAAAACATTGGAGCAAATGGGTTAGTGGAAGTTTGAAAAATATCGATATTTCGTGTATCGATACAAACATTTTACAAAGTTACTAAGCTTGCATTAGCTTAATAACAGCGTAACATAAATGCCAAAATATGCCAATTCAATTAAACATGAGAAACTAGAAATTAATATGGAAACAGAAATTTAAAATTCGAAAAGTTTTGTCTGAGGACTTTTTTTGGCACTTACGTTATTGCTATTAAGCAAACGATTTGTATTTTATCCAATGTGACCAACCTTTGGGGCATAAAATACCTAGTATTATACAAGTGTATTATACATCGAGTAATATACATAGGGTATGGTGTTTTACGTGTAAAATACTGGGTATTTTAGACAGAGCGCGCGAACTAATCTAGTACTCGAAAAAAAAAAATTTTTAGTGATGACATTTTGCGTACTGCCAGTGAAAATACTGAAACATCATAACATCTGATAAAGTAGTATTCTCCATAAAATCGACCGCAGAACGTGCAGTGAACGCTCAGCGAACAGAGGAAATGCAAGAGCAATGGAGCGTTCCCACCGCGTTACTAATGCCAGTATCGCGCTTTAACACCATGGCTTCACCCACCTCTCATCAAATGGAACTGGTTCTAAATCACTTTTCTTGAAAAAACTACCACAGAGTGAGAAAAACGAGAAGAATGAATAAAAAATAGTCTCTCAACCTATACGGTTCAATGAATGCGATGGACGATAAAAGTGAAATTTCTCATTGTCAGAAATTGCAATGCCATCACATGACTCCAATTGGGATTAAGTCTAATTTTTTCCGTTTCTCCAAAAATGAATAAACATAAAAAGTGATATATAGAGAAAGACAACTATGGATGATTTGAATGCACTTGTGTATGAAAGAAAAAGAAAAATTCTTTGAGTATCTTCATGTCTGAATGTCTTTCATTCGAGTGTCTTTCTCGAAGACACTCAAATGAAAGACACTCAAACATGAAGATACTCTAATAAAGAAACTCAACCTCTAAGAAAATGAGAAATTTTCCATTGGATACAAAAACAGCAGGATATGAGTTGAACATTAGTAGGTGATTTGAAATATACTCGTGAAGCCTTGGCCCGTCCCGTGGCCTGTATCTGTAAGGGCTAGGTAGTGATTAATTTTACCAACTCCTGAAACTAGATAATTGATCAACACTGGAAATATTAAGTTGCGGCTTCAAAAAAAAATTTTTCGCCGTTTGCTAAATAGTCAATATTATTCTGTATTAAAATACAAATCTGTGCTAGAATATTATTATTTTTTCGGAATATTTAATTTCTTTGGAAGACTAAAAAATTATTGTTAGTGGAGTTACTAATAGCATAAACATGCGGAACTAAAGAAATCAATAGAGTCATGATCTTCAGTTGTTGATTAAAATCTTACCGGCATTTGTTTCTTGTTTGGTAACCTGGATGAATGTACAAAGGACGATTAGGAAGCTGTAAATAAGCCAGCAGCTCATCATCCTGTCTGTAGTCTTGCGAAGATTTCGCTACGAGTTCACTACTTTGTAGTAAATACAGAGTAAAAAGAAATGAAACTAAATGAATGAACAATCACGTAAGCAAGCTGGGTACATTCGCGGTGTGCGGCGCAGTGTCAAACGCAGTGGTTAGTGGTGGAGCAAACTGGGATCGCGTAGTGATCTCTATATTTCCCAAAGAACACAAACACCCATAGACCCCGGATCGAGGGGTTTTAGCATAGACATATAATACCTAGACCGCGCATGCGGTGGGGGAAGCTGTACAGGTTTCGGCAGAGAGAGATGCACTCGGTCCCTACCTATCCTTGTTCGGAAGTGCTGATAGTGGGAAGAGAGCTGCTGCAGGGTGGGAGTAAAAATTCAACTGCGTAGGGGAAATCACGGAGAACGTTTTCTCATCGTTTTATCGCAAATTAAAATTTTTTTCGTCATTAAAATACGTGATAATTGAAAAAATTGTAAAAATATTCAAATGGTGAATTTTTGTTGTGTGTGTGTGGTGTTTATTTCCATCAATCGAAGAGTTTCAAATTTCCCTTGAGTCTCTCCTTAAGCTAGTCCCAAATTGATTTCCGCAAGGGATTTTTTACATTCGACAATCGTACTCTCATGGGAGGGGAGGTCGTGCCAGCGTTATTAGTGTTTCCCGATACCCAAAAAAATATCGATATTCAGTATCGTATCCAAAGAGGATTGACTAAAGTAGAGGCTCAGATATCGGGGTTGGACTGACCCCAAGCCAAAAGTAGTTCGACCCCAACGGAGGGATGCCGCCACGGTCGAATCTGACGGCTGGGGGAACTGCCTGTGCGGGTAACTCGGCAGTAGCAGTCCCGCTGTCACAGGGATAGTTTTGGAGGTGAATTTATGTCCTCCTCGTCCTCAGCATGTTCTTAACGTTTTTCAGTTGATTCATTTGCTGGCTAATTAATATTAAGGAATGAAACACAAAGGGTGTGACGGAGAATTAAATTCCCCATCAATCGATCCCCGTTGCATCCCTTAATCTCTGTAACAAAAAAATACAAACTACGACAAAGTTATAGGCCAGTGAGAAAAATAATTTTCTTCTCGGCGTACAGTGACTTTTCACCATACGCTCGCGAATTAAAAATTCACTTCTCCCCTCCTAATTGAGATTAAGGGATGAAAAAAGAGTAGTTCGATGGAGAATTAAATTCCCCACCAA